TGTATGTGTAAATTTATTACCATAATTGCAGGTGAGTCATGTAAATTTATGTTTTTATAAAACAAGTCCCCCCCAAGACCAATTTCCTAGGGGAAACACTGGATCATGTTTGTAAAGTAGATGAATATTCAAGAACTACACTGATATGAACCTTCTGTGTATGGGTTTTAATTTAATCTGCACGTTCTAGATCTTCAGCACGTGCAGCCCACATTGCTGCTGCTGCTCTGCAGGGCTGATGAGAGAACAGCATGAGAGAAAAATAAAAACCGTGCTAGCAGAGCTTGTTTTAACTTACCCATAACAGGATTTTAAATTTAATGCGAACTTTGGTTTGAAAGAAATATGTAGATAATTTTGCTAAATTGGCTACAATAAGAAAAGTTGTAAGGGATTCTGGAGCTCACTGATGAAGTGACACACAATGATGACCTCAGAATATATTGATAACTAACTACTATCTCATTTAATTCCTCATTTTAAAAATACTTGTTTAAATTAACCACCCAGCTCTACTATTCAGCTTCTTACAGTCTGCACACTTTGCTAACACACACACACACACACACACACACACACACACACACACACACACACACAGATTAAGAGGATTAAAATCCAGAGTTCATATATTTACCTTTTAGGCAAACTGTCATTATACTAAATGAAGTTACAAGAAAAGACATTTTAAAAGGATATTTGTTCTTTTTGTTTGATTCCAGGTTGTAGTTTTATCCGTCAGGTCTCTTCCCATCATGCCTCAGTCATCCAGCAGTGGAGCATTTATCCTTCAAACAAAGGCTCGCACAAGCAGCAAGGGAAGCTCTCTGATTGGTTGTGAAAGTAGTCTGGAGGACATACTGGTAGAGAAACTCACAATGATGTTACTGGTGACGTTTGGATTTTTTTGGCCTTTTTTCTCTTTAAATAACTTCGTGTTACATGTGATGTCTGTTGGGAAGGATGAAGATGAAGATCTCTCGGACCTGCTGAGCCTCTCAGATGACTTCATGGATCAGACGGGCATTGAAGATGAAAATGATAAAATCGTCATTTGTAAAAAGACATACCAGGTGAGTTTGTTTTCATTTAACAAAAAGAGTTTCACACAAAGCTTAAAGGCACTGTAAACAGAATTTATTTAATAGATATGCTACGCCCCCTTTTCATAAGTCAGCGCAGTAACCTGTGGCGTGTGGAGTAATTAATAATTACCATAGAAATGGCTGCTTGTGAGCATTTACAGCCCGAGAAAAGAGAAAAAAACCTCAGCTCCTCTGGTGTTGCTGTCTCTCTGCCTAAAAAAGGCTTCCAGCTTATTTTTTAATTCCATCTTCAGTGTAGAGATCTTTAAATTTTCCATAAGTTGGCATAAGTTGTCTAAAACACAGTGTGACAGCTTTTAGGGCTTCATGTTTCAAAATAATCAGACTGACCATGGTCGTAACCAATGTTCTGTATGCTTTTAGTGAGGAATGTCTTTGTGCCGATACAATTTGATTGTCTGCAGCGAGGAGCTCGCAGGGCTTGAAAACAAAATTACAGAAAGTTTAAATCCAGAAGGAGTCTTGTTTTTTATTTGACTTAAGAAACCCGTGCAGTGTTTCCCCTAGGAAATTGGTCTTGGTGGGGG